CTTAGTCCTGCCCAGGATCCCAGCCCCTTGCTTGGAAGCACAGGCACCTGCCAGAGACTAAACCTATAATGCCCTTACAGTACCCCAAAGTGATATCCTAAAGGGGCCACGGCATATTGTATGGCTGTGGAATCCCAGCCTGCCTGGGCTTAAATCCCTACGCTTAGGCCACGTGACCTTGGGCAGGTCACTTTACCTCTCTGGGCCTCAGTTTCCTCACCTGTGAGATGGGGAGAATGATTTCACTTTGTATTTATTAGCACAGACAAAGTACTGCGGGGCTCATGGGAAGAGCCAGCTAAATTAGAACTATTATAATATGCACATTATTGGATTTTTGCATTATCCAAGTGAGAAAAATGTATCCACTACTGTTCTAAATGTGATCAAAGATCAAACAAACAGAAATTACTTGTATCCTTTCTGGAACATAAATCCAGGTTGGATCCTCCCTCAGACGGTCACTGTAGAAGCTTCCAGCAAGAGGGAAGCTAAGGTCCTCAGAGGCCCCACTGCTGTGGTGGCCCAGCTATCTGCGCCCTCCCCTCCTCTGTTCTTGGACTTGGATCCTGTATTTCTCCAAGTGCACTGACCCCAGCCACCTGCAACAAAGACCTCTGGGCAGGGAACACTTGCTAAAAATACAGATCCCAGGGGCACAGCCAGGCTTGCTGTATCCGGCTCTGCATTTGACTTACCTTTCCAGGTGATCGAGATGTAAACTATAACGTGAGAACGGATGTCCTGCTCCTTCCTGACCCAGCTTCTTCTCAGATCCAATGCCTACAGTGAGCTAAGCATGAGGCAAGGGGCTTTCCATCCCTCACCTCCTTTAAACCCCTAAAACATACAAAAAATGACCGTTGGGGAGTTGTGACAGATAAAGGAACTGAGGCTCAGAGAGGTATGCTGTGGGCCCATGATCACATGTGGTAAGCCGTGGACCTGGGATTTGAACCCAGAATCTGTCTTCTTTCCCCTTGCAAATGCTGCTCTCCCGTAATTGTGGCTATGCCTGAGTACCCTCCTTAGTCTGGGCCGGGGTCTAACTTTGTAACTTGCTGGTGAAAGCTGGTTGCTACAGCCAAGCTTCTCAGCCAAAGGCACAGGAGGAGCATCTAAACATACACGGGCAGCTTGGGGTAGGGAAGGTGTCAGCATTTGGGCCTGAGGAGGGGAGCCAGCTGGCGTTTGTGATCACCCATCAACAGAAACCGGCTGCGGGTTACTTAAGCAGGAAGGGAACTTATTAAAGGTTACTGGGGAGCCCATAACCTCTGAGAGACTCAGAGAGCCCAGCCTGGAGGTCTCATGGCCAGATCACCCCTCAGCCCCCCACCATGAGGCACTGACACGGCAGCCTGTCCCGCTGACACCCAGATCTTGGCCAGTCCCTGCAGAACCTCTGTCCCTGGTGACTCCAGACACTGGATGTAGGCACTGCCAAAGTGGGTCTGTGTGCCCCTGCCTCTTCGGCCATGGATTCCCTCAAAGCTCTGTGCTGGGGGGTGTGACTGGGGGAGTCTGGGTCCTGTGCTCAGCCCTTATACAAAGCGTGCTGGTAAATTGAGGCTGCTCTGTCGGAAGTGTCATTAGGTGGGGAATTCACCAGACATGGGAAGGTGGCTTGAAAACAGGGCATCCAGTAAGAATGCAGATGTCCAGCTGAGACCAGGAACGGGCGGTCAAAGACCCACCAGTTGCTGAGGGCTGCCATGCACCAGGCACTGTGCCGAGTGGGTCACATCTGTTAGCTTCAATCTTTAGCTACAGAAATAATGCCCAGTTTACAGATGAGAAAGCTCAGGCCCAGGATCATAAGATGCGTGAGTGACAGGTCACGCTAACGAGCCTGGGTCCATCAGACACCTGAGCCAGGGCTGGGGACCACCAGGACATACGTCATTGCTTTCTGCTTCCTGTGACTGGGACCAGCCCCCCACCCCTCCAGACTGCACACCTGCCTTTCACCCGCCTCCTGCGCGCCTCCTAGCTCAGCAGGCTGACCCCTCAGCATCCCTGGGAGGGAGGCAGGGTGAGTACTATTATCCCATTTTATAGATGGGGAACCTAAGTTGCGGGGAGGGATTTGTCTAGATCAGGAAGCAGTCATTGTAGGTCTGAGGTCTCCCCACACCGGCCTTCTCTCACTTACTCTCTGCCCCATTTCCTGGGGAGGCCCGGCTGCTCTTCTGAAGGTGGCTTGGAGAGCCAGCTGGGAACACCCCACCCACTACCTTAGCCTGGCAGAGAGCCAGCTTCTGCGGGAGGCTGTGGGGTGGGAGTGCGGGGGCCCTGGTGCAACTTGGGCAGGAGAAGGAAGGTGAAGAGAGCCCTAGAATATACGATCAAAGCCCTGCTTCTCCAGCTGTTTGAGTTGCTCTGCCAAAGAACTGCCCTCCTCCAGGGCTGGAGAAATGTCCCCAGTGCCTTCAGCCCACCCAGAGATATCTCTTCCAGCCCCTTCTGTGACTTACTTGATACAGTAGGGCTTTGCTAGCTGGGTACAAAAGCCACATGGGAATTGTGGCCCATCTTCCTGGACAGTCAATTTTTATAAGAGATTTTATGACACCTTCATTAGATATTGACACTCATTAGATATGACACCTTCATTAGATATCCCAGTCTTCACAATTTTCACACTCACCGTCAACCACCTGTACCACCCAAGACAGCTGCTGGGGCTGCAGCCTCGACAGCTATGTTTCTAGTAGCAGGAAGGAGGAGGCAGAAGGACCTCCAGCTGAGTCAGCTCCTGTAGGAAGCCCACCAAGAAGTCCAAGTGGACTTCAACTTACTTAGGCGGCAAGAATCTAATCACGTGGCCACGCAGTGGCATGCGAGGCTGGGCATGTTGCCAGGTAATACTGGGGCTCTGTTACAAAGGACAATGGAAGCGTGGGTACTGCATAGGCAACAAGCAATCTCAATCACTCATGTCAAGATGTGCTAAGGTCCAACAAAGGGCCACCTCAGCGCCACCTGGTCCCTGCTGGGCCGAGACACCACAGGTATCCAGCCTGGGCTTTTGGCATCACACATGCTGAGCCAGACCTCCACCAGGCTGTGCACCCCAGGAGGCCATACTCCTCTGCCTTAAACACCCCAGGGCCAGGGGCCCAGCAGCTAAAGACCCCTACAGCCCAGAGCCCACTATAATTATTCAGACCAGTCTAGCCCAAACTGTTCACCCTGCCCTGTCTTGTCTTTCTCATGGAAACCCCAATAAAGGCTGTGGCCTAAGCATTCTCCCCTGCCCCTCCTGAGCACCCTGGGTTTTTCCACATGTGGCACACATGCCTCCTGTCTCTAGGACCTGTGCGTAGAAGAACCTTTGTTTTCCTGAGCCTCTCCTCTGTCTCCTCTGTGGCTGCAGCTGATGGGCCATCCCATAAAAGAATACGAAACAGGTCTCCAGAGACAGGACGTCCTCCACGCCGTTTCTCAGCTCCATCTTGGCTTTCCTTTCCAGAGATCCGTACTCGTCAAGGGAGGCGAGGTCGTTCTGCAATAATAACAAATAACCCAAGTCTTAGCGGCTCCCAACATGAAGTTACTTCCCAGGCACCTGCACGTCGACGGAGGGCTGGCGGGGCTCCCCCCAGGGCCCAGGCCATGGGGCGGCCACCACCTCAAAGGCTGTGCGAAGCCACAGCGGAGGAAGAGGGTCTCCACCTGGCAACTGAATGCTCCAGCCTGATGTGACACAAGTCACTTCTCCTCACACCTCATCGGCCAGGGCTGGACATATGACCCCACTCGGTCACAAGGGGACAGGAAGCGCCTACTCACATGCCTGGAGGGCAGAGCCTGGGAAATAAATGGAGCATGACCCTAAGGACCACCTCAGGCCTCTGTCTGGGGTGTCTGCCAGGCAGCTGTGGTCACCTGTGCAGGGGCAGAGGGAGCAGCTCTGTCTTGGGGGTGAGGTGGTGCTGCACTGAGCCCAGTGGGGACCCACCTGGCGTGAGGGGGCTGAAGAGAAGAAAGACATCTGACACCCCAGAGCCTGGGGTTGTCATGCCAGACAGGCCTTCCAATCCAGCCAGGAGCCAGGTTCCTCTTCTGCAAAACTGGAATAGTATTTCCCATCCGGCAGATTTTAGTGAGGATTAATTAAAATACACGAGTAACATGGGGAAATGCGCCTTTCTGCTCCCAGCAGCCTTCCACGGAAGGAAATAACTTTTCAGTGGAAGGCCCTCTGCCCTCTGAGCCCTTTGATGAACTCGTGTGGGAAAATTTGACAGCAGAAGCTTGGCGAAATGCAGCTTGGGGGAGGCAGGTTGGAAGGGGCTTATTTTAAAAATTGTGCTTAAAAAGCACAAAATATTCTTAAGATTTCTTTGGGGGTGACCTTGTTTATATGGGATGGTTTGGGGGGAGTTGATGGAGATTATGGGGGCATCCAAGCCCCCACAACTGTCCCTATCGAAACTGGGAACAGATCAATTTTTCTGTATAACAGGAAGAGAAGATTTGGGGGTTCCTGCGGCAGTCCACAAGATGGGGGAGCAAAAAGAGGGGAGCAGGAGAGGGAAGGCAGCGTGATGACAGAGGGTGGAGTGTACATAACCGCCAGGGAAGTCCTCTGGGTGCATGAAGGCAGCAGGAGGCTACTCTCAGAATAGGGTGAGGCTTTGAAGGTGAGATGTGATGTAAGCCCCAGTTCCTTCCCACTCCTCAGGTTTTGAGCAAACTCCCTCTGATGACAGGAGGCTCACTCCTGCACAGCGGTCAGTCAACATGCTGCTCTGTGCTGTCCATGTCACATCAAAGCCAACCGGTGGACATGGAGGCCTGCTCTGCTTCCTGGGCAGAGGATGGTGAGAAAGCATATCAAAAACCGGATCCTGGGCTTCCCTGGTGGCGCAGTGGTTGAGAGTCCGCCTGCCAATGCAGGGGACACGGGTTCGTGCCCCGGTCCGGGAAGATCCCACATGTCGCAGAGTGGCTGGGCCCGTGAGCCATGGCCGCTAAGCCTGCGTGTCCGGAGCCTGTGCTCCGCAACGGGAGAGGCCACGACAGTGAGAGGCCCGTGTATTGCAAAAAACAAACAAACAAAAAAAACCCGGATCCTGGTCCTGCCCAGCACAGAGAGACACGCCAATAAGGCTTGTATGTTCACTTCCAGAAGCCTCAAATGGCCAGCCCCAGTGTGGTGGCGCGGCTCCTCCTCTGAGCGGAGAAATGGGGGACAGGGTGGCAGAAAGACAAGAAAGAAACTTCCCGAGATCTGGAGTTATCCCGTTCATCTAGGTGTGCAGGCCACGTGGCAGATAGGACAAACTGAGTCCTGGAGGGCTCAGCTTTCCCACAGTAACCCAGCCAGCCAGTGGTACAGCCAGGGTTCTACAGCCATTGGAGGATAGAAACTGGAGCACAGAGAGGCGAAGGTCTTGCCCAAGGTCACACAGCAATTCCATAGCAGAGCCAGGATGCAGGGACTCCAGGTCCTATCTCTTCTGGCTGTCAGCCTGGTAAAGCTGCCCAGCTCTTTCACCCACTTTTGGCCTGTGCTGGGCGAGAGGTGGAGCGGGTGGGATGAGGAGAGGCAGCGTGATCTAAGAACTCCACTCAGGCCCAGACACTAGGACTGAACCGGTCCCCCTTGCGCCCTGGCGAGCCCACCCCAGAGAGACAGCACCTGCGAGTACAGCCGTGCCCAGGGTGGGAAGCCAGGCGTGGGGCTCGGCCTTCTGCACATGTGATCTCATTGAACCCTCAGGCAACCCTGTGAGTTGAGCACCTCCGCTGTTTTCGATTTTTCCAGAGAGGAAACTGGGGTGAGTAGGACCAAGGCCTCGGGACTCGCAGTCCAGTGCTCCAACCCACGGCGCTCAAGGCGGGAGGGGCCTGGCGGAGCGCCACACGGGGCGGGGCGCGGGGGCGGGCCCCTCATCCCGGATGCGCCCCCAGCCGGCTGGAGCTGCCCCGCGGGGTTCCCAGAGCAGGGCTGAGCAGGAAGACGGAACAATGGGCAGCGGCTGCAGCGGGGCTGCTGGTTTCCGGAGCAGGGGTGGGGCGGGCTGGGGCCTGGCGGCCACAAAGACTGTGGGAACGAGGTGCCTGCGCAGGAGACTAATGAGATTAACGACTAACATCTTTTGAGCACTCACTGTATGCCAGGACCTGCTTTCAACGCTTTAGAGGAATCCGCACCTTATCCCTATTTAGCCCCATTTCACAGATGAAGAAATTGAGGCACAGAGAGTTTAAATAAAATGTCCAAGGTAAGTAAGAGGTGAAAGCGAGATTTGAACCTAGTCAGTGTGGCTCTAGATCCTATGCCCTTAACCACCATAAACTCTATACACCCTACCCCACCCCCACATTTTCTCGTAAATTTCCTTTTTTCACTTAAAGCATTAACAGCTTTCTATGTCATAAATATAGTCCTCAGCCTTGTTTAAAGTCCTAACATCCTGGGGAGATGTCCATGCACCCAGCCCCCACCCCCTACGTCCCTCCCACCATTTGAGGCGCCTGCGTTTCCACCACTGGTGCCCTATCATTGAGTTAGGTTTGCTTCCTCTAACTTAAATTGGTGGCAGCCAGGGGTGGGCTCGTGGGTGCTTAAGAACCTCCTAATCTCCATCAGAAGCACCTCCACCACCTAAAAAGACGCACCGTCTAGATAAAATGACGTGTTTATTATGCAAATGAAACTTTAAGACCGGCCTCTTTCCCACCCCAATTAGACTGCTGCACCCAAGCTCCTCCCACAGAGAGTTTCCCGAGACAGCAGGCTGGTGGGTTCGTGCTTGCCCGGTTCCCAGCGTTGAACACAAGGTGAGGAAACACTGCAGGTTTCGTAGGATCCGGTTGGGTGAAGACTGGCCCTTCCCAGCGCCGCGGGAGACACGGGAAGACCCAGCCTGGCCAGCGGTGGTGGCTCCAGAATCTGCAGAAGGCCTGGGTAGCTGGAGCAGGTGGAGGCGCCGGGCTGGGACTTGCATTTTATACGAGATTAAGGCGTCAAAGTGGCACCGCCGACTGGGAAGGCACGTGAGAATCTAGGGCACCTCTTACTCCCAACTGAGACAGACTGGGATCCCCAGGTGCAGCAGGGATGAGGCGGGGGACTGTTAAAGCCACTCCACTACATCTGCTGGGAGAAAGCCCTTTTCCCAAAGAGGCTGATGGGGCTTCTCCTCCAAACATGATGGACCAGCTGGAGACCCCCCTCCCGAAGCCTTCTTGCCCTCACAAGGTCAGCTGGGAGCACTGGATGGGGAACCAGGATACCTGAGATCTGTGCTCTGGTTTTATCCCCGTCGGGGGCTGCTGTATGGCTTTGGACCAATCATTCTCCCTCTCTGGGCCTCTAGCTTCCCATCCCTACCACACCAGGGACCTCCAAGGACTCTTCCCACTCTGACAGGTGGTCTGACAACAGCACTTTCCCTTTCTGGGGCCACCTGAGCTGCCCAGGTGTATGATCTGGTACAAGTCACCTCTCTGAACCTTCCTTTCATCACCAATTATTATCTTCCAAAGGCTGTAATTTGGGGGTCACCCAGCATCCACTATCCCTTCTTATGGTATCAACCCCCAATTTTCTTCAGGGGAAGCCTTCCTCCTCCCACCTCAGCCTCGTGCAGTGGGTGGAGTTGAGTCTACCCCTGACTACAAGGGGATGAGAGTGACCAGGCCAGGCCGACACCCGAGTTCCATTCCCCGAGGCTCCGGTGAACTGTCCAGGGGGTAGTCATGCAGCCCTGTTCCCGTCACCAGCAGTCGGGCTTAGGACTTGTCCCAAATGTTGAGAAGAATGGAAGCATCAAACCTGGGAGGGCTGGCGGCTGGAGTTGCCTCTGCTGGGAATGGAGCCTTTGCAGAGCAGACAGAGCTGGGGACTGGGGCGTCAGGGCTTGGCGCCGTAGCCTGAGCCCTCCAGTCCAGCTGTGCCTGAAGCCTACTGCCTACCCTTAGGTTTTCCTTGTCCAAGAGCCAATAAAATACCTTTTTCACTTAAACCAGTTTGAAGTGGATCTTCTGGTGCTCACAACCTAAAGAATCATGACCATTTTGGGGTTTACTTGATTCTATGACACCATCAATTGTAAGATTTTTTTTAAGAAAAATATATCTACAGTATTTAATAACTTCTCGGTGAAAAAAAGCATATTAGGTGTGCCCTTTAAAAATGGAGAGTAGTATGTTTTTAGTTCTAAAATTGCACATCACAGTCACTTTGGTGACTTGATCAAAGTGCTTCACATTCTTTGGATGAATCCGCAATCTTTATTTTGCCTGCCTGATGATAGCCTTTTGAACACTCAGTAACCTTTTATTTCCATGTGGCATCACTTTAGAAGTCACTTTAAGTGATAATTAAGGATCCAATCTGGTAAAATTCCATCAGGTTGGATCTCAGCCACCCGAGCAACTGGAAGCAGACAGTGAGGACACCAAACTCCCCCTCTGCCTGCTGGCTGGCATGTTCCTTGGACATCAGTTGTGGGACACATCCTCATTCCAGAACCAGTGAAATGTGTGTGTGGGACCCATGTGTCAGAACTACTGTAGTTACTATCATAACTATGAGACGTTTGCTGTGGGACAGGCACTGAGCTAAGCAGAACGAGGTGGGACCTTGGACAAGTGACATCACCCTCTTCCACAACTGCCACATCTGTAAATGAGAATAATAGTTTCACAGGGTCATTGGGAAGGTTTAATGATAAAAATCAATGTAAAACTCTTAGAGAAGTTTTGGCATATCAGAATTGCCCAATAAATATCAGGTATTATTATTTTGTTTCATTCTCACAACTGCTCTTTGAGATCAATATGATCTACTTTAAGGTTTAGGACACTAAGAACAGGGACAAGAAGTGTCAAGTCCAAGGTCACTCATCTGAGAAGGAGGTGGTGGATCTGGGACTCAAAGCCAGGCCTGTCCAGTACCCAGCCTTATGTCTGTAACTAATGCCATCTGGACTTCCAGCCAGTAGCGGGGCTCCTAACCCCAGAGGTTTGGGGTGGGGTGGGCCAGGGAGGGCTTGCGGGTCCAGTTCTTAGCCGGGGCAGGGAAAGATCATACTCGCTCACCAGCCAAGCTCACTGTCCAGACCACTGTCTCAGCCTGATTCGTGAATCCTGGGCCTTTGTAAACTCCAGAGAGGAAACACCAAGGCCCAGGGACTTGTCCAAGGCCATATGGCCAGGGAGTGACCTAGGTTCAGGCTGGAACCCCTGTTCTCTGACTCCTCACATGGTCCTCATGCTTCACTGCTCCCCATAGACCCTCCTGGCACCACATCCTCCAAGAAGCCCTGCCTGACCACCCCAGTCCACGTCCCTGTTCATTTCTCTGGCAGGGTCTCAATACTTGCTGGCATTTCAGACATGGCCTCTGGAGTCAGGCCAAGCTTGGATTTGAATCCTCTTCCTGCCACTTATTACCTGTGTAATCCTGGGTTCTTTCCCCCTCTCTCTGAACCTCAGTTTCCTCACCTGTAAAATGGGCTACAAAAGCCCATCTCATGGGGTTGATGGGAAATTTCAGGTGAGGTCAGGGCTGAGCACAGCCTGACTAGGAATTAGCCTTCATGATCAGCTGTTTTCTCACTACCCCCTCCTGTATGCAACATAGTTATTGTCATTAATAATCACAAAATAAAATAAATAATAAGAACAATGTACAGAAAAGAAATTCAGTGTGAAAATGTTTTTATTAGACTTCACATTTATATAATTGTGGCAGTGAAAAATAATGAACTAAATCAACAAATACAGTATTATAGTACAAAAAAAAGGAAAACAGTAATGAATTAATACTTTTAAGTCATATTAATGTTTTATTGTTTTGTTTTTTTTTTTTTTACAAAAAACAACACATTAAGAAATGCTTCCAAAAAAAGTGAATCCGAGAAGTTTGGAGTGTGATCTGTACATGGAGCGATGGCGTGAGGTCATTCGGGCTCCGTTTCTGCTCCTCACGGTCACAGCGCTGTCAACTGCTTATTCACTTGCTGTTCAGGTGCGGGGGTGTGCAGAACACCGGAGGGAGCACCAGCTGTGTCTGGAGTTGAGTTTAACCGTTACAAAATGTTACCAAACTTGAAACAGATGCCTGTAGTTGAATCTGGGTGTGTTGGGAGCCAAGTGTATGATGAAGTTCTCTGCATTAGCTTCCATGCAGAACACAATGTTTATTACAGGAAAAGTAGTTTTAAAATGTATTAATAGCCTATTATTAAAACTTAACAGTAACTACAGTGACTATTTAGAACCTAGACTAACAAAAAATTTTTACCAGGAGGAGAAATTTAAGCACTGACTTCGGTTAGAATTGCCAGTGCAGGGTGATAATAAAAAGCAGGCGACTTTCAGTGGTTTCATTATTGCTTCTAAACTCCACAGATAACACCCCGCTCATTGCCTGCACTGCACAGCCTCCCCTTGCCCACCCTTGGCCCTCCACTGTGCTCATTCCCTAGTAAGTGTCATTTTGATGATCAACACAAGCTTTAACCATTGGGCACCCCCAGAGAGGGGTGAATGAGGGAAGGAGGGAGGGAGACCAGAACAGGGAGCCATCGCCTCTTGAGTCCCAGGCCTAACTCCTTATAACAAGCTGTGTGTCTTTAAGAAGTCACACCCTCTCTGTGCTTCCAACGGGATGGGTTATCCCTCCCCTGCTTTACTCAGCCTGGGTGATGGAGAGGTCGGGCCTAGGGGCAGAAGCAAGTGACAAATGCACGCCTGCTCCAGCCCTGGACACCCCTCTAGGAGTCGAACCCACGCTGGCGCAGGCTCGCTCGCTGTTACCCGTCCTGCCTCAGCTGCCTAGCTATCCGTAGGCCTTCAATGCGCTGTAATGCCCCCCTCACGTGAAGCTGCTGATCTCCAGTGCCCTGGATGCCCCCAACTGCCAGTGACCCCTGCTACTGGAGTTGCCTCATGGTTGCCACTGTGGCCACCTCTTTCCCAGCCTGTACAGAAATGTCCTCCCAGTGTCCAGCTGTTGCAGAGGCCCTACAGCCCCGGACTGGGGCCCCAAATGACCTCCTCTTTCAATCCTGTCACTCGGCCATCTCCTTTCTTGTAGGCTGTGCTGCAGGGGAAGTTGGTTAAGAGGCAGCCTCATTCCCTGCTCCGAACCTCTGCTCCCTTTCCACTTTTAATCTGATGGCCGTGGGGATACCAGGCTGCCTGGAAGAGAATACACACTCAAATGCACACCCTAATATCAAAAGGATTTAGCCAAGGGTACAGATCTCATGGAAGCAAGGTGGCCACAGGGGCAAGAGCAGATGCAGCAGGTGGTGGCTGGGCTTCTCCCTTTCCCTGCAGGACCTGGCAGTTGTTGCTACTTTCTCTGAGTGGTTACGATCCTTCCAGAGCAGAGAACAAGGCTGAGTGCTTGCTATGCCACAAGGTCTTTCACATTCACATTCCCTCGAATTCCAGGAGAACCAATATAGTAATATAGGTAGTTCCTCAAAAGGAATGGATACCAAGGTTTGTTACTAAAGTTTGTTTATCCTTTCACCAACGGAAGGACATTTTGGTTGCTTCCAGTTTTAGGAGATTATGAATAAAGCTGCTATAAACATGCATGTGCAGTTTTTTGTGTAGACATGTTTTCAATTCAGTTGGGTAACACCTAGGAGCACAATTGCTGGATCGTATGGTAAGAATATGTTAGTTTTGTAAGAAACTGCTAATCGTCTTCCAAAGTGGCTGTACTGTTTTGCATTTGCATCAGCAATGAATAAGCGTTCTTTTTGGTCTGTATCCTTGTCAGCATTTAGTATTGTCAGTTTTGTGGATTTTAGCCATTCCAAAAGGTATGGAGTGATATCTCATTTTAATTTGCAATCCCCTAATGACATATGATGTTGAGCAATTTTTCACATGCTTATTCTGCACCTGTACATTTTCTTTGGTGAGGTGTCTGTTCAGAAGTTCTGCCCATTTTTGAATTGGGTTGTTTGTTTCCTTACTGTTGAGTTTAAAATGTTCTTTGTATATTTTGGATACCAGTCCTTTATCAGATATGTGTTTTGCAAATAACTTCTCCCAATCTGTGACGTACCTCTTCAATCTCTTAACATTCTAACACAGAGCAGAAGTTTTTACTTTTAATAAAGTCCAGTGTAATCAATTTTTCTTCTATGGATTGTGCTTTTGGTACTGAATTTAAAATTCATCATCAAACCCAAGTTCACTTGGATTTGCTCTAATTTATCTTCTATAAGTTTTATAGTGTTGCATTTTACATTTAGGTCTAAGATCCATTTTGAATTTACTTCTGTAGTAAATTTAAAGGCTATGTCTAGCTTCACTTTTTTTGCCTATGGATGTCAAATTATTCTAGCACCATTTGTTAAAAAGACTTCTAGCACCATTTGTTAAAAAGACTATCCTTTCCCTTATTGAATTGCCTTTGCTCCTTTGTCAACGATCAGTTGCCTGTATTTGCGTGGGTCTATCTCTGGGCTATTTATTCTGTTCCATTGATCAGTCTGTCTATTCCTTCAGCAATCCACACTGTCTTGATTACTGTGGCTTTATAATAAGGCTTCAGAGTCAGGTGGTGTCAATCCTGTGACTTTTCTTTAGTATTGTGCTGCCCGTTCTGGATCTTCTGCCTTTTCATATATACTTAGAATCAGTTTGTCAATGTCAACAAAAAAATTTACTAGGGTTTTTATTCAGATTGTGTTGAATCTATAGATTGAACTGGGGAGAACTTACACCTTAAAAATATTGAATCTTTTTATCCGTGTACAGGGAATATCTCTCCATTTATTTCTTTCTTTCATCAGAGTTTTATAACTTTCCTCATGTAGACCCTGTACATATTTTGTTAGATTTATGCCTAAGTATTTAATCACTTTTGGTGCTAATGTAAATGGTATTGTGTTTCTAATTTCAAATTCCAACTGTTCATTGCTGGCATATAGGAAAGCAATCCATTTTTACATATTAATTTTATATCCTGTGACCTTGCTATAATCATTTATTATTTCTAGTTTTTTTGGTCAAGTCTTTATGATTTTATAAATAGATAATCATGTCATCTGTGCACAGTTTTATTTCTTTCTTGCCAATCTGTATACCTTTCTTTTACTTATTGCATTAGCTAGGATGTCCAGTATGATGCTGAATAGGAGTGGTGAGAGAGGACATCTTTGCTTCCTAATCTTAGGAGGAAAGCATCCAGTTTCTCACCACTAAGTATGATGCTAACTGTAGGATTATTGTAAATACCCTTTATCAGTGTTTGAGAACGTTCCCTATGATTCCTAGGTCGCTGAGTTTTTATCATTAATGGGTGTTAAATTTTGTCAAGTGCTTTTTCTGCATCTATTGATATGATCATATGATTTTTCTCCTTCAGCCTATCGATGTGAGGGATTATAATAACTGATTTTTGAATGGTGAACCAGATTTCCATACCTAGAATAAATCTCACTTGGTCATGCTGTATAATTTCCCATACATTGTTGGATTCAATTTGATGATTTTTTTGAGGATCTTTGCATCTGTGTTTATGAGAGATATAGGTCTGTAATATTCCTTTCTTATAAATGTCTTAATCTGCTTTTAGTATTGGGGTAACACTGGCCTCACAGAGTGAGTTAGGAAGTATTCCCTCTGCTTCTATAAGTATTTTCTGGAAGAGATTATAGAGAACTGATATCATTTATTCCTTAAATGTCTGGTAGAATTAGCCAGTGAAACCATCTGTGCCTTGTGCTTTTTGTTTTGTGAGGTTATTAATTATTGATTCAATTTCTTTAATAGATATAGGTCTATTCAGATTATCTATTTCTCTTTTTATAAGTTTTGGTAGTTTTTGTTTTTTAAGGAATTGGTCCATTTCACCTGTTATCAAATTTGTAGGCATAAAGCTATTCATAATATTCCTCTCCTATCCTTTCAATGTCCACATGATCAATAAACGTGACCCCTCCTTCATTTCTGATATTTGTAATTTGTGTTTTCTTTCCTTTTTCTTGATTTTTTTTTTCAAAGAACCAGTTTTGGTTTCATTGATCTCTGTTGATTTCCTGTTTTCAATTTCATTGATTTCTAGTCTAATTTTGTATTATCTCTTTTCTTCTGCCTATATTACTCTTCTTTCATTTACTGAGGTGGAAGCTCAGATAATTGCTTAATCAATAATTAAGCAAAAAGATTAATCAATAGTCTTTTCTAAAGTATGTATTTAATGTTATAAATTTCCCCCTAAGCACTGCTTTTACTGCATCCCCCAAATTTGATAATTGTATTTGCACTTTCGTTTAGCTCAAAATATTTTAAAATTTCTCAAGACTTCTTTGAGCCATGTGCGATTTAGAAGTATATTGTTTAATCTCTAAATAGTTTGAGATTTTCTAGTTGTCTTTCTGTTATTGATTTCTAACTAATTCCATTGTGGTCTATAAGCAAACTTTGTATGATTTCTATTCTTTCAAAATTTTAAGGTGTGTTTATGGCCCAGAATGTAGTCTGTCTTGGTGAATGTTCCATGTGAACTTCACAAGGATGTGAATTCCGCTGCTGTTAAGTATTTTGTAAACATCAGTAAGATCTAGTCGATCATTGGTGCTATTCAGTTCAACTATATCCTTACTGATTTTCTGCCTGCTGGATCTGTCAATTACTGATTGAGAGGTGTTGATATCTCCAACTCTAACAGTGGACTCATCTGTTTCTCTTTACAGTCCTATCAGTTTTTGCCTTGCATATTCTTTCTTGCTCTGTTGTTAAGTGCATACAAATTAAGGATTTTTATTGCTTCTTATAGAATGACTCCATCATTATGTAATGCCCCTCTCTATCCCTGATAATTTTCCTTGCTCTGGTCTGCTTTGTCTGAAATTAATATAGCTACTCCAGATTTCCTTTGATTGATGTTGGCATGGTATATCCTTCTCCATCCCTTTACTTTTTAATCCATGTGTGTCTTTATAAAGTGGGTTTCCTGTAGAAAACATAGTTGGGTCTTGTTTTTTTCATACACGCTGACAATGGATTTGAATTGATCTTTTAGTTAGTGTATTTAAACCATTCACATTTAAAGTAATTATTGCTATTACTGTTTTGTAACTGTTTTCTATTCATTCGGCTTTTCTTTGTTTTCTTTTTTCTTTTAAAAATGTCCCCTCGGGCTTCCCTGGTGGCGCAGTGGTTGAGAGTCCGCCTGCCGATGCAGGGGACACGGGTTCGTGCCCCGGTCCGGGAGGATCCCACATGCCGCGGAGCGGCTGTGCCCGTGAGCCGTGGCCGCTGAGCCTGTGCGTCCGGAGCTTGTGCTCCACAACGGGAGAGGCCACAGCAGTGAGAGGCCCGCGTACCGTAAAAAAAAAAAAAAAAAAAAAAAAGTCCCCTCTTTTCCTGACTTTCTCTGGGTTTTAATTTTATGATTCCATTTTCTCCTCTCAATTACGTCTTTAAAAAAGTTGTTAACGGTTTCCGTAGAGTGTGCAATATATGTTTGCAACTAATCTAAGTCCACTTTCTTTTATGTTTTTAATTAGTGAGGTACAACTGACATATAACATTGTATTACCTGAAAGGTGTATAACATAATGATTTGATATTTTTTTATAAGTCCACTTTCAAATAACACTATACCACTTCATGGGTATACAGTACAGGTGCCTTATAACAGTGTATTCCCAATTCCTCCCTCTCATCCCTTGTAACATTGCTGCCATTCATTTCACTTTCCATATGCTATAATCACCCAGTTCATTCTTGCTATTATTACTTTGGACAAATGATTATCTCTAAGATTAGGTAGGTATACAAGCAACAGAGATTTTATTTTACCTTCATTTCTTCCTTCTCTGATACTCTTCCTTCCTTAGGTAGATCTGAGTTTCCAACCTGTATCATTTTCCTTCTCTCTGAAGAACTTCTTTTAACATTTCTTGCAAGGCAGGTCTACTTAGCACAAATTCCTTCACTTTTTTGTTTGAGAAAGAATTTGTTTTTCCATTTTTGAATAATTTTGCTGGATACAACATTCTAGGTTGGTGGTTATTTTCTTTCAGCACTTGGATATCTCACTCCACTCTATTCTTGTTTGCATGGTTTCTGATGAGAAAGTCCAGTGTAATTTTCATCCTTGTTCCTCTGCAAGTAAGATGTCCCCCCGACCCTATGGCTTCTTTCAAGGTTTTCTCTTGTCTTTGGTTTCCTGTAGTTTGAATATGACATGCTTAGTTGTAGATTTTTTGGTATTTATCCTGCTTGGTATTTTTTGAGCTTCCTGGCTTTGTAGACTGGTGTCTATCATTAATTTTGGAAAATGGTAAGTCATTACTACTTCAGATATGTCTTCTGCTTCTTTCTCTCTTCTTCTCGTTTTCTCATTATGTGTATGTTATACCTTTTGTAAATGTCCCACAATTCATAGATATTCTGTTCTAGATTTTTTCCACTTTGCATTTTTTCCAGCTTTATTGAGATATAGTTGATGTATAACATTGTGTAAGTTTAAGGTATACAATGTGATGATTTGATACACTTATGTATTGCAAAATGATTACCACAGTAGCATTAGTTAATACCTCCATCACTTCACAGAACTACCATTTCTTTTTTTGTGGTGAAAACATTCTTAGTAACTTTCAAGTACATAATACAGTATTGTTAACTATAGTCACCATGCAGTACTTTAGATCTCAAAATTTATTCATCTTACAACTGGAAGTTCGTACCCTTTGACCAGTATCTCCCAGTTTCCTCCATCTCCAGCCCCTGGAATCCACCATTCTACTGTCTGTCTCTATGAATTTGGCTTTTAGTGCATACTATTTTTGGACTGTTATGTCTTCTCAGTTTGGGGTTCACTCAGCTTCTTAAATCTGAAGGTTATTATGTTCTTTTGCCAAATTTGGGGATTTTCCAGTTATTATTTGTTTGTATGTTTTCTGCACTGCACTCTTTCTCTTCTCCTCTGGGACTCCAATGACGTAAGTATTGGCGGATTGGGTATTGTTCCACAGGCTCCTAAAGTTCTGTTTGTTTTTCTTATCTATTATTTCTTTGTTCAGGTTATATAATTTGTATTGGTACATCTTCAGGTTCACTGCTTCTTTCCTCTGTCATCTCCATTCTGCCACTGTGTCCATCCAACGAGTTTTTTATTTTTGTATTTTTTAGTTCTAAAATTTCCATTTGGTTTTCCTTTATATCTTGTATTTCTGTTTCAAGGGTGTTAATAGTTGCTTGTTGATCCTTATCCTTTTCCTTTTCCTTTCTCCCCCTCCCCTCTTCCTTTTTTCTTATGATGGCTGCTTTAAAATCCTTGTCAGATGACCCCAACATCTGTGTCATCTTGATATTGGCATCTGTTAATTGCCTTTTCTCATTCCAGTTCAGACTGGTAATATTTGATTTTATCCTGGACTTTTTGGGTATTATGTTACAAGACTCTGTTCCCTTTTAAAACCTTCCATTTTAGCATGCATTCAACCTGTTTCAGTTCAGAATGCATATCACGGCTCACTTTTGTGGTCTGTGTGTTTGAAGGTCAATTTAGTTACAAATTCAGGGCTATTTTGGTCTGCCTCGCTTGTGTGCTACCCAGAGGCCAATCTGAAACCACGCAGTATTCCACTTCACAGTTCAGTTCTCAACGATTTCAGTATGTTAATTCTGGTGGGTTTCACGCATAAGACACTTTAGTGTGTGCCCAGGACTTCATACACCAACTGAAAGAATCTCTTTCTGCAGCTCCCCCTTCTCTGTAACCCTCCCCACACACTCTGGCTGTGAGGGGGTGGGTGCTGCCCCTTTGTCACCTTTGCTTAGTGAAGAGCATGGAGAATGACAGGGCTCCACCCTGCACTGTCCATAGCACAATGTGGAGTGTGTGTGGGGGGGAGGGGTGTCCCCCTGCCCCCCCCCCATCACATTAGTGCAGGGTGGAGCTGAGACCACCATGCCGTGAAGAGGCCTGGGCATGTCTACTGGAGGACAAGAGGCCACATGAGAAGATATCTAAAAGTGATAGGTCGAGACACAGCAATGTAATGTAAAATTCTTAGAGTAGCTTAATGTTATTTTCTACTAAATTGCCTTTTTCTTTAGAATTATTTATATATTTAGGGTATGAGGTTTTTGTTATATTTTGCAAAAATTTTCTCTCCATTATGGCTCTCTTGCTTATGGTATTCTTTATGATGCAGAAGTTTTGTTCTTTATTTCATTTTTAGGTGGTCACATCTGTCAATAATTTCCCTTGTGTCTCTGAGATTCTGTTTCTTGATTAAGCAGGCTCTTTCCAAAGATTTACTTTAATCTTATATTCTTCAACAACAACAACAGTATAAGCAATTGGTGCAACATGGTGGTAACTGTAGAAGAGAGAGTGAGGAGTTTGAACTAGTTGTCTCTATGGACTGGCTGGGGTAAGGGCCAGGCAGGAAAGGAGGACTCCTTCCCTCACGGTCCAGCCTGAAAATCACACTGATAAAGTGTGTCCTGAACCTGACCGCTTCCTTACTACCCTCGCTCCTACCAGTCGGGTCAAGGCCTCCTTCATCTCTGGCTGAAGCAACCCCAACAGCCAGCTCCTTGGTGTGTGCTTCCCTCCTTACCCCCGTTTCAATTATCCATGGCTGTGAAATAAACCACTTTAAAACCCGGGTCTTAAGTCTCACAGTTCTGTGGTTTCCCTGAGCTGAGGTGGTTGTTCGTTTATGTGCTGTTCCATTATCCTAGAACAGTTTTCCTCCCAGCCTTCAGCTGGCTACTTCGCCACTCTCCTCACTGCCATCACACTCTGGATACCTGACATTATTTATTTGTGCATGTTTTGGAACTCCACTAGAACGGAAGGTCCTTGCGGGTGGCACCTTTCTCTTTCCTATCCTGTACTCACTTCTAACACCTAGAACAGCACTGATCACAGGGATGGCATACCATAATATATATACTCTGTGGTTAACTGAATTTATTTCCCTAAATCTTGGGAATCTATTGCTTTGAGAAATATACAAATTAATTCTAAACTAGGAAAAACTACAGTGGCATTTGGCAGACAGATCCAACAATATATCAGACCTACACACTCACTAGCAAATATTTCCACCTTCCTAATAAAAGCTGACAGCTGTTTTCCCGTGTACTCTAAAGGGCAGCTGCTGCAAAGCCTGGCTTCTGATGGTTTGTAATCAATCTGCCCGATGCATGTAGGGAACTCGGGGAACTCAGAAGACCCACTCTGGGCAGAAGCCAGGGGAGTGCTGCCCTTGGCATTTTAATTTTAATGCATTTTTGCTGTCAGCTGTCTCTTATTAATTCACTGAATTTAATTAGAGAGCTGAACAAGAATCCCTCAACTCTGCTTTCTCGGTGGTTCCTAAGAACACGGTTCAGTCCAAGGCTGTCAACCAAAGTGAACCCACATTTATCCAGGAAGCAGGTGCATGCTGAGGGCAGAATTCTTACAGACACACATCCCACATGTGTCAAAGACAAATCTAAGTTCAAGATAAAGTTAATAAAGCCTGTTTATTCAGAAACTTGCAGCATGGGAACTCTTTTGCTGTCACCTTTGCTTCAGCAGCAGTTCAAAGGTGTCAGGGAGTATATTTTATTGAATAAAAAGGAAATACCGACGCGGTATCTCATTGGAAAACGTTCCCGTAAGGCAGGATTTGTGGAACGAGGGACAGACTAACCGGTCAAGTACATTTGGCCATCCTCGGTTAGCTGCAAGGGGCCAGGCAGTTTCGGGACATTTCAAAAGAGGAAGGGGCAGAGGGTGTGTGGCCATCCCTTTCCTGGAACAAACAGGGGTCAGTAGAACGCTTTTTTGTAGTCAAAACTGTCATCCTGGTTATTGGGGGGCAGGGGAGGTGTGTGGCCACATGATAATTACAGTTTTAGAGCTGGAAGTTATCTTAAAGTTCACCTGGTCACTCTGACCTACCATGCATGCCCCAGCCCCCACCCCGAATCCATTCAACAAATGGAAACACTCAGAAACAGGGTAGTTCAGTGCCTAAGCTGTAGCAAAGGTCAGAAGCAGAATTAGAGTTCTCCTGAATCTTAGGACTGTGAATATAACTGTCATGCTTCTCAAAAATAAAACAAAAACGAAGAAAAGGAAAATAAAGTCAGTAGATCCTGGATACCGTTCTGGGGCTCAGAGGCGCTGGGCTTCAGGGGAGCCAGCACTGGGGAAGGGGTGATGTATCTCTGGTCCAGATCAGTCAATTCTCCACAGATTTAATTCTGAGCAAGGACCATGAGGGAAAAGTGGGTGGGTGGATGGGTGGGTGGGTGTCTCGAAAAAGAAAGTGCTTGTTTTTTAAGGAGACCATGGAAGAGACAACCCATTTTCTGCCATGCGACGTAGGTGGGGTTTGTTTTCGGTGTGTGGGAAGAGGCTTATACAACTTGGCAACACGAACTGAAAGTCATAAAAATCTTTTGACCCTACAGCCCTCCTTCTAGTGTTTTATCCTATAGAATCAAGATATTTAGGAAAGAAAAAAACTACATGTTTAAAGATGTATACTGACTTTTTAATAAAAGCAAAAGATTGGAAATAACCTAAGTAACCAACAATAGGGTGTCAGGAAACGTGAAAGACTTTGAAAGAGCTTCCCTCCCTCCCCAGTTACTGGGTGTTCCATTTACCCATCCACCCTCCACCCTTCTGGGTTGTCTCCACCTTTCACTCTCTTTAAGCTACCTTACAATGACGTACATTGAGGGAAACTGATAATGCAGACGATTCTTGTGCAGAGAAATGCAGATTTCATCCAGTGGAATTTAACTGATTGTCTGTGGATACTGGCCAATTTTGCCAGTTTTGTATATATTAAGCAAATTCATTTCAGCATTCCTACTGGACTTATTATTAAAACGTCTTACTGGTTCTCTCATTAATTAATGAGTTAACTAAAGTCTTTAACATGTTCATTTTGTATTTGAGTCATGATTTTACTTCCTAAAAACATTTGTCCTTTAACAAGGTGGTTAAGGGAAATTCCCTGGCGGTCCAGTGGTTAGGACTTGGCGCTTTCACTGCCGGGGCCCAGGTTCAAACCCTGGTCGGGGAACTAAGATCCTGCAAGCCATGGACAAAAAAAAAAGGCAGTTAAATTTAGTGTATTCATTTGATTTTATTTACAGCCCTCTTAAGATAGTTATAAAGACCTTACAGCAACAAGAACAAATATTCTTAATCAAAAACATTCAGCGGAGAAAAAACCAGAATGCAAAATTTATACTAGGCTGTGTGACTAAAACTAAAAATGGCAGGTGCCTAGGGCAAGAACTAGAGGGGAAGAAGCAGAAAAAAACTGAAGTCTGATTTGTTAGAGCTGTAGAATCCTGGAGATTTTAAAAAAATCCTGATTTGTTATTTTTCTGTTCTGTTATACATTAAAAGAAACAAAGACTCTGTACCAGTTTCCTCTTGCTCAAATTGCCACTGTAACAAATCGCCACAAACTTAGTGGCTTAAAATAACACAGATTTATCATCTTACAGTTCTGGAGGTCAGAAGTCCAAAATGGCTCTCACAGGGCTAAAATCCAAGTGTTGGCAGGGTTGGTTCTTTCAGGCCCTAGGGGAGGATTCTTCTCCTTACCTTGTCCAGCTCCTAGAGACTGCCAGCATTCCTTGGCTTGTGGCCCCTTCCTCCATCGTCAAAGGCAGCAGCATGGCACCTTCAGATGTCTTTCCGTCCTCACATCTCTGACTCATTTAAGGACCCTTGTGATTACACTAGACCCACCAATGTAATCCATGACAGTCTCCCCACATCAAGGTCCTTAATGTAATGACATCTGCAAAATCTCTTTTGCCATGTAAGGTACTCACAGGCTCTGGGAATCAGGATGTGTGCATCTTTGGGGCCCATGGTTCTGCCTGTCAGATACCTGACCCTGATCCAGACGATTTCTTTGAACTTTTAAGTTCAGTGAGAACTAAAAGCTTCCCTATGTGTCTGAGTGAAGGAAGACATAGCATTTAAGATTATACTGAAATTAAATTCTGTAACAGGCAACATTATGGTAGAAAAAGCAAAACAACTGTTGCCTCTGGGGGTGGGCTGGGGACTGACTGGGAAAGGGCATAAGGGAACTTTCTGAGATGATTTTCTTTATTTTGATAGGGTTTTAGGGTACGAAAGTGTAAACAAATATTAAATTCTAATGGTATCTATTTAGGGGAAATTGTAGCGATGTCTGCTGTTTATTCTGAAATGTAACATAAAGGGACAGAGGGATGAATAAATATGTGATAAACAGGTGTACAGTAACATGTTTATGGCAGAATCTAGGTGGTGGGTATATGGATATTCATGAGAAAAATCTTTTATTTGTTGCTTGGCAATTTTTATAAAAGAATTTTGGGGAAAATAAGACATAACCCTGAAATGATACTCTGGTGACTTAAATTAATAAAAGGATGGATTTGGAAAATCATTAAGCAAGTCTTTAAACCATCTCTCTATTTAAAATCAAAGGCTCTCAACCAGGGAAATTGTGGAAGGTGTCTAGAAAGGTGTGGGACACCACAATTTTTGGTGTCCGTGACCAGAGGAGGGGAATATGAGTAGCATATACAGGGTAGGGCCAGGGAAGCTACTGCAACCAAACCGTCCACGTGACAAAAAGCCTCCACACCAAGTGTCACCAAGGAACACGTATTTAAAACCCAAATCTTCCCCTTCATAACGTTTCATCAATTTGCTGGTAACACATCCCCAAATGGGTGGTGGCTCGGTTCTGCTGCTGGTTGCATCCCCGACTTCTTGGCAACCACAGAGAACCCAGCATAGAACTCTACCCAGACCACACATTTAATGAACATCTGATGATGGGCAAGGGGGTGGGGCTCCCTGACGACCCCAGCCTGAACTCCACAAAGTTCCCTCCATGGGTGAAGATGCAGATCTACTGCCCCCCATCCCATCTCCCAAGAGGGCAATGGGGAAGGACGTTCCTGCTGCAGTTCTTCTGCTAAGACACAGCCTCCAGCACTGCACCCCCACTGCCACGCCCCAACCCCATCCCCTTGCACCAAAGGGCAGGGGGAGGCACCTGAAAGTAACCACCATCACACAGAGCTGAGAAAAGCCAGCATAAAGCACTTTTATTGCAATAATAAAACTTGAAACTCATATGTAGTGCAGGGGGTGGGGTGGGGGTGGGCGAGAAGGCAGCAATTTCTCTCACCAAATCACTACACAGGACAGCAGAGGGTGAGAGGGAGGAAGGAGAAGCCAGGAAACTCTGAGATCAGCAGGGGGAGCTGAGCATCAAAAAACAGGAGATGCTGAAGCTGTGATGACCAGCATCATTTTCTTAAGACAACACTCAGGGATTTGTCATGATGGCTGGGCTTTCATGGGTGTTAAGTGTCTACAAACAGCACCTTCAATTTAACTTTCGATTAAAGTTCTTAAAATTTAGGAAGTGGGGCCTGGATAGCTATGAGATTACAAAAGTCCTAAATATCCATTAGAAAAACCACAGGATGGAAAAAAAAAAAAAAAAAAAAAAGCCAGGCCATGAAGAAGGCTTCAGAGGTCCCTGCTGGCCCGGTGACACACACCTGTAGTGTCCAACATCTCAGTGAAAATGATCTGCTTTCAAAAGGCAGAGGGTTAAGGGGAGGGTGGGGGTGGGGCAGTGGAGGCAAAGGCTCTCCCCTTCCCACTTTAGTTTTGGGTAGGGCTTTTAATTCAACCCGAGGACATCTCTCAACTTGGAGAATAATTCGGCCCTCAAAAGCGCCTCAAATCTGCTATGGCTTTGCAGCGCAGCAGCAAGAATGTTTAATATATAATAGATAAAACTTTCATCCAAAAAAAAATAAAATAAAATAAAGATTCTTGCACTCCCCCCAACACCAATTCCTATTCTAAAGTTAACCCATTATTTGTGCTGTTAATACTTGACTAGTACTTAACTGGAAACCTAGATCCAAAGGACTGAAACTCAATCTTCACCCCAAAACGAAAACAAACTAAAATGGGTAACTTGAGGTTTATGGCATATAGTTCAGGTCAACACACATACGAGGAGAAAGGGGAAGAGCAAAGCCGGTGACAGAACACATTCAGTCAGGGAAGATGTTTATACAAAGAGTGTAGTGGAACATCAGGAAAAGCTCCGTACGGACTCGCTGTGCGCATCTGGAGGCGCCAGATCCTTCCATGGCACATCTGTTGGGGACAGAAAGTTGGTGAGTTCCAGCAACTCAGTGCTTTTTGGGTGCAGTAGGGACAGCCACAGGCTGCTGCCACACCAAGTCCCTTCCCTAACAGCTGTGAGGTCTGACTTGGCCCTCGCCCCTTCTGCTCCAGCTGGGGAGGGCCCACTGGGCTCGGGCTGGATTCCCAGGTGAGCAGCCTCTTTCTGCTCACCTTGCTTGTGTTTTTTTAAACCTAAGGTCACATTTCTGTTGCTGAGGATAGCAGGAGAGGCAAAGTCCACCAATGCAGCTGACAATACAGTTTCCCATTATCAATGAGTCTCCAACCTGGCTGCATATAGGAATCACCTGGGGGCTTTAAAAAACCTGAACACTTGGACCCCACTCCCAGTGGTGGCGGTTAACTGGTCTGGGGGGTAGCCTGAGCATCAAGAGAGTCTTTAAAGCTTCCCAGGGGCTTTAATGTGCACAGCCCGAAGCTCGTTTTCCTCATGTTGAACAGACCGAGAAAATGTCTGCAGTCTTCATTCACTCACTCGAACCTGTAACTTTCTGGGTTTGCCCTTGGGCTTTCCCTCAAGACCCTTTCGAGAAGCTCTGAGCTGTGCTTTGGCAGTGTGTGGGGAGGCTTAGGCCAGGGTGACTCATAGCCATTCAGCCCTCTCTCCCCTTTTTCTCCCCTTCCTCTGTCCTTCCAGATTTCCAGAAAGCCTGTTCCCAAATCAGGGTAACTCCAAGGCTTCCTCAAGTACATTATGTTCAAAGGACTCAGCTTTCCAGGGTGAGGACTAGGTGTAGACCTCTGGGCAGACAGAGGCTCTATAAAGTGTCAGAATTCCCTCCCGGCAGGAATGACAAGTGGAGCAGCCAGCGTCCTCAAACCTGACCAGGCCTGGATGACCCAGGTGTTTAGGGATCAAACCACTGGGAGGAAATAGCTAATAATAAAAAAGGCTCCTCTATTTTAAAAAGTCCATAGTAGGACAAAGGTACTCCATAACAGGCTGGCTGCCACTTGCTACCATTTTCAAACAAAAGCATTCTCACCCAGCCCCTGGCTGTGACCCTCTGGTTCCAGGGGCGGGAGGGGAGCAAATGCAGAGGTCTGGGGCCATGTGGAAAGAAGATGACAGACATTCATGTGTTTTATGATTCTAATACCCACATGAAAAGTTAGACGCCATTAGGATATTGAGTTTGGTTGCCTAGAAATGAGGGTAGAGGAAGGAAAAAAAGGTCCAGGAAGGAGATGCAGAAAAGGGTTCTGTCCTAATTTGCCACTGTCTGGATGTGACCTTGAGTAAGACCTCTCTCTCTCTGGGCCTCAGTCTCCTCACCTGTTGCATAGAAAGGCTTAGGTCCCTAAGAGCCTCTCCTAGACTGAGAGCATCCTTTACACTTCATAAGCATCCTTAGGCCTCACCTTTCAACCACTGATAACAAGCTGGCCTGCTGTCTGTCCTCGTGTGTCCTGGGCTTGCTCCCCGAGGCAGGTGGCCCAGGTGGTAATGCCTCTCTCATATCCTCTAACAGGCAGTAACCACAGACTGTATGGATGAGGGAGCTGCAGAAACTAGGCAGGGCAAACCAAGTCAGTCATCCCAATCTTACCTCTAAAGAACTAAAATGCTGGCACTAAAAATTTGGCCTATATTTCCCAACTCAGTTTTAGTTTATAGGCTACATATAAAAATACTTAATTTAAACAGCTACCATCAGCTCCCCATCCCCACGAGTTCTTTCAAGAGCACATGCCATTCCTTTCCAAGGTGTACACTTAAAACTGAAAGGATAGCCAATAGAGGAAGAATGTAAAGGGAAAAAAACCCATGGCATTTTTGGTTCTCTCCGATGCTCATCAAACACTGTGCCTGACTTGGGAGGAGCAAAGGGAGTTAAAGGAAGGTCCTTCAGCACTAAGATCCTTACCCAAGAATGGGGAGATCAGGGAGGAGGCCATTCCTGTCATTCCAGTTTTAGAAGCTCCACATCAAAGACGAGAGTGGCATTTGGTGGGATGATGCCTGGGTGCCCAGTGGCGCCATAGGCATAGTCTGGGGAGATAGTCAGCTTGGCTCTCTGACCCACACTCATCTGTGAAAAGAGCAAGGAAGAATGAATGAGCTAAGGCACCCCCCAAATATCTCCTTAAGAAGCAGAGCTGTGGTTACCTGCCAGGACGGTGTGACTAGGACATTCCAGTGACTGCACGGCTGCCTGGGCAGCGGGCACACCCTCTATGGGATGTGGAGGTAGGCGATCAGGCTGGATGAGCCCTATATCTGGCTCCAAGGTAGCCGACAGCAGATAAAATTCCCTCTCGCCTCCCAGAACCATCAGGCTCTCAAGCTTTCTGTCCAGGTCCTACCGATCTGACTCTGGGCAGCCATCACTCTAGAAGTGTCACCACCTAATCCTTCAGTGGCCTGTCACTAGAGGCATCTATACTCTTCAAAAAGGAGTGCTTTGATCAAAACTTTGCTTTAAAAGAAAACACACAGAAAGTAATATTTGAGGCAGTATACTTTTCTATACTTTCTAGATTTATACTTGTATTCAGAAATACAGAAAAACTAAAAAGGAACAGTATGATTTTCTGGGGTACAAACTACACTGTACAAAGCAGCATGCTACCAACTGTGTGGAAAAGAGGAAAGTATATATTTATACCTGCCTGCATAAACAGAAAACATCTTTGGAAGGACACAAATAATACCATCATTTCTCTATGGGGAGAACAGAGGGTGGAGGGAAATTTTTCACTTATTAAAATGTATTTGTAGTTTTTCATTTTCTAATCAAATACACAAGCTTAAGTACTTATTTTCTGAACAGTGAACAGGTTCTCTGCTCTATTCCCACCCTTTACCTATCTTTTTTAAGTCTCCATGTGTGCGTTCCTGGCTCTCTGACCCAGAACAAGAGATGGTGACTGAAGAGAAAGCTTCAGGCTTACTTCCTACAGCTCCCTTCAGAAACTGGGACATGTTGGACCAAGGTAGTAAGGATAGTTGAAAGCATATGGCTTAATCTAATAAAATTCAAAACAATCATATCCTTTTACCCAGCAATTCCACTTCCAGAATCTGCTAGCAACCCAAATGCCCACTGCAAGGGGAGTGGTTTCACAGCACATGTGCACCACGGGTTAGCCAACAGAAAGAATACAGTGGCCTTAATTATACTAACATGGAAAGACGTCCAAGACACATCGTTAGATGAAAAAAGCAAGCTGCCAAAATAGTACATGTGGCAGGATTGCAGACCTGTAAACACAGAAAACCAGAACACAACATCAAGAGAATAGGAAAAGGGGCACAAGACAACCTCCCTTCTTCCTGTGCTTTTAACTTAGTTGCTAAATAAATATTCTACAGAGGCATTTAAAAGAAGATGCTCTACGTAGGTCTCAGACCACCCAGACTTCTCACAAGTAACAGAGCTGTGACTGACCCAAAGAACCCTGGGTGCAGGGGGAGACTGGGCATCTCCCCAACACCCCACCATGCCTCGCCAAGCCTGGGATGTGAAATAGACTGGTAACACTATCTTGGTGGCAGCTATGGCTCCTGGAACACACAACACAATGATTGTTCCAGTGCTGGAACAGCCACAGAAGATGAGTTGTGGGGTGGACAATGGTTGGCATGGGAGATGGGGGATGGGCTACAGACGCAAGAGCCTGCCAGACTTCTGGGGTGGGAACAGGACGGGACAGAAAGGTATAGTTGAAGAGGTTTCCAAAGGGAAGTAAGCCACAAAGATCCTCTCCTTTTTGTACTGCCAACCCTCAGTCATGCTGGAACAAAAATCTAGACACCTGGGAATAGGATAGCTTAAAGTTTCTGAAAGTTAAGCAGTTTATTTGGAGATAAATCAGTGATATTTTATAGAGGAAGTAGAGCAAAGTGTATTCTGGAAAAGAGAAAGACAAATCCTTCTCTCCACACTGGTTAAATCTCCAATTCTCTTTGGTGAGAGGAAATAGACTAATTTATCCATCGTGGCAGGGCCTATTATAAAGCTCGCTGGGTCTTATGCCACCGTAAACATCCCTTTACCTGGTTAGTGCCAAGAAGAAAATTCCTGGGCTTAGTGGAAGGATAAAATCCAACTGAAATTTGGCAACCCTGGGTCCCCTACTATCTACTGGGAATTTTGAAGAGTTGGCAGAACAAAAGCTGTTTACACAAATTGGGAGGTGAGAGGTGAAGAAACACACTTAAGACAAGCAAAATGACTTTCTCCATGAGTCTGACCTCTCAGAAGTGGTCCGACACAACATGGTCAATAGTAAGACAAACACAAATTAAAATGATACCGAGATAACATTTTTCACTCATTATATTGTCCTGAAGCCAAAAGTTTTTAACAACACACTGTGCTGGAGGGCCTGGGAGGAGCAGGCACCTTCACAGCCCGCTGGTGGCAACTCAGTGTAATCCCCACAGATGGCAACCTGGCAGTAGGTCAAAATCCAGTGCGCACAGCCACTGAACCACTCACTCCACTTTTAAGAATCTGCCTATGGCAACACTTGCACAAATGTAAAATAAAGTCCATTCAAGATTAGTCACTGAAGTATTGTTTACAATATCGAAATACTGGAAATGACCCAAATGGCCATCAATAGGGTACTTGTCAAATAAATTACAGCACACCCAAGGGAATCCAGGGAATCCAGGCATACCTCATTTTACTGTGCTTCACAGATACTGTGTTTTTTACAGATTGAAGGTTTGTGGCAACCCTCTGTTGAGTAAAGCTACTGGTGCCATTTTTTCCATAGCATTTGCTCACTTCATGTCTGCCACATTTTGGTAATTCACTCAGTATTTCCAACCTTTTCATTATTATTATTTGGATGGCGATCTGTGATCTTTGATGTTACTACTGCAAAAAGATTATGACTTGTTGAAGGCTCAGATGATGGTTAGCATTTTTGTGCAATAAAGTATTTTTAAATTAAGGTATGTACAGTTGACCCTTGAACAACACGGGTTTGAACTATGTGGGTCCACTTACACGTGAATTTTTTTCAATACTAAATACTACGTGATCCGTGGTTGGCTGAGTCCCTGGATGAGGAACTGCAGACACAGAGGGCCGACTGTAAAGTTATACGTGGATTTTCAACTGTTCAGGGGGCGGGGGAGGGATGCCCCTACCCCCACATTGTTCAAAGGTAAACTGTCCATTGTTTTTTTAGACATGATGCTATTGCACACTTAACAGACTATAGTACAGTGTAAACATAACTTTAATATGCCCTCGGAAACCAAAAACTTCACGTGACTTGTTTTATTGCAAGATTTGCTTTATTGTGGTGGTCTGGAACTGAACCTGCAATATCTCTGAGGTCTGCCTACACTGTGTAGCTCTATGAGGAGGAGAGCTTCCTCCTCTTTTATATCCTGGTATATAAAGTATCAGATATGGATTAAGTGAAAAAGCAAAGCACAGAACAATGTGTGTGTGTGTCTAAGAGAAAAAAGGGGGGGCACTTAAAGAAATTCTACAAGAAACATTAATAAAAGGAGTTATTTGGGTGACAGAGCTAGGAGTGAAATTTTTCCCACCTATAAACGTAATTTAAGAAATAGACACTAGGAAACACAAAGAAACAACGGAGAGCATACCTGGGCAACCCCTTCTTCCCAGCCTCGGATCACCTCCTGCTTACCCAGCACAAACTTAAACGGCTTGTTTCTGTCCCGGGAGGAATCGAATTTCTTTCCATCTTCAAGCATCCCTGTGGAAAAGGGCAGTTGTAACATGAGCAACGAGGAGTAACGACATGAGGCAAGTCAGAGTCAGCATCAGAGTGCCAGTCCCACGGGCCAGCACTGGAGGGCCTGGCAGGGTGTCCTAGGAGGATTTCCTGTGTCCTCAGTGGGCCTCTGAGGAGCTGGGGTAGTCCTTCTACTCCAGGCTTGTGAACGCTCTTCCCCAGCTCCAAGCAGTAAGTTGATACAGAGGCAGGCAGTAGTCTACCTTGTTCTGGAGAATGGGGAAGTGGACACACTCCTAGCAGGAATTCCCAGCACCCTGTGGGTTTCCTCCCAGACAGAGTAACTGTGGGCCCTTTAGGCACACAGAACAGCTCAAAGTCACTCCATGTGCAAGAAGCCATATTCCTTCCTCAATTCATTCGTCACCTTTTACAGAGATGTGGGTAGTGTCAGAACTTAACTGAACTGGAGGATACCAGTTGGTGTCGGAGAATCAGAGAAGTGGCATTGGAAGACACCAAAAACCTTTCACCAGTGAACTGCTAACGACTCTGAACTGTGGGCAGTGTTTCTACTACGAGTCAGAGACTGGGCTAGGCACTCTCCACATATGAACTTATTCAATCCTTCCCACAGCACTGTCCCCATTTCACAGAACGGAGGCAGAGAGAAGTGAACTTGTAAAGCTAGGCTATAAATCCAAAAACCATGTTCATTCTACTATTCCAGCTTCCCAGAAGCGAGACAACCCATAATGGCAACCTCAACTAAATGGGGGCATTCCAGAGATGGAGATGCCAGAGGGTGAGTGCCACGACAAAAGACGAATAGACACCTGCAACTCCTTGCTCCAAAAAGACCATCACATTGGTTTCTCCGGAAGCCAGTATCAGCCAATTGTGATAGCTGTCACTGAGGTCCTGAAAACTCACACCAGGATCCTAGACTGGAAGGGGCCAGCCAGTTGCTGACATGTAACTAACACAAAGCTGATTTCATTGGAGGCGGAGACTGGGCAGCCACCATGGTTCTAAATTAAGCAACACTCAGAAGACCCAGCAAAACACAGAAGTCTGTTGTGTTTGTATGTTTTCAGAGGTGGAGGGAAATCCCAGCCTAAAAAACAATGTCAACACTGGTAGGTGGAATGGGGAAGCAGAGACCAATTGACAGCTTTACCACAGCCACCAGACTTTCTGTATTTTGACAAAATAGGAAACGGGGTGGGGGAGGCGGGAAGGAACTGCTGTCCTAACAGAATAGGAGGGAGAGACAGATGTCCTGGGCGCAGAGTGGGTGCTGACACTGCCTGAAGCCTGGAGCTGAGGGCTGAGAGGGAGACGGGAGGATGGAGATCTACCCATGCCAAGTCAGTGCAGAGCCAGGAACTGGCACCCCAGAACTAACAAGCTGGGGTGTGCATGTAGCTCCTCCTTTACCAGAACACAATCACTACCTGATAAAAGGAATGATAAACGGCAGGACTTGAATAGTTTTTTATAAATGAGAAACTGGGAGAAGACTAGGTCTCCACTTTCCATAATACTACGGACGTTCCCTTTAACCCATTTCAGGTTCTTCATACACTGAACCCACCCCAACTGAACTCAGCCATTAAGGGTGAGAGGAGACTGAAGACCAGAACTAGTCTCTTCCTGCTCTATGCTCTTTAGAGCAGACCCTGAGTAGAGCCCCAGGGCTTCCTGAGCAACCACGGTAGACAGGTAACTACTAGGTGAGGAAGCCACGTGGGAAAGAGCCGAGGATGGGAGGGTGGTCCCTGGCCTCTAAGTCCTGACTATCTGCAAAGGCTGGCTGGACAAAACTCAAAGAGAAAACCTGCCCAGAGGGGCACCTGAAACACAGGCTGTAGCACATTCCAGACCTTTGGAAAACCCAGACGCAGCACCCCCACCCCCCATTCTAACAACATCAAATTTCCAGGAGCAGCAACAGCCTGGCCCAGGAGACGAACTGGAATCAATCCAAGCCTTCCTCCTATGCCAGAGTTGGTGTGAGGTGGCTGTATGGGCCAGTATGGGCACTTGGACCAACTGTGAAATCTACTAGAATCTTGCAGGAAAGACCTGCCTCATTGGTTAAAAAAAGAAACACATCCAGGAGGAAAGCTCCTGCCCTCCCTTCCTGTTGCATGCTGTCATGTAAGGATGTGATGTCTGGAGCCATGGCAGCCACCTTGTAACCACAAAGTCAGCCAGGAACCCCAGAATGGTAGTCCCATTGCTCTGAACCAGCCCCAAACCACCTCCTTTAAGACCTGCATTCTGAGGTGATTAAAAATCTGCTTTGCCTTAAGTCAGATTTCTAGTTACTTGCAACTGAAAGTAACCTAATTGGAATGAGGTAAATATTTTATTTGACATTTACTTAGTACACCCCACTGCAGCGCTGCCATGAGAGAAGTAACAAAGAAATGGAACTCAACAACCCACATCAGTAAGAGCTATCACTGTGACGACAGACCAGTGTGTTATTGCAGGAACCAGTACACACATAAATGTGTATAAATGAAGCAAAATTTACATGTAAGTTACTATGTGGCATGCACTTCTCATTTTTAAAAAGACTGCTGATTTTGACTGCCTAGATTTATTTCATGATACATTAATGGGTTGCAACTCACAGTTTAAAAAAATACAGTATACCTACAAAAGAATTATACTATTTCCTACCAAATTTGAACATGCACCCAATCAGAGCAAGATCGTATTTTAACTGCAATAAAAACCACTGGGTACTGAGACAGACTCCCTACACTTTCCTTTTATTCCTGATCAAACGTATTGCCAAGCAACTTCTAGATGTTACATGCATCCATCCTGCTTTGCCTGAAGGTGAGATGTTTCAACTGTCTGACTGGTACCAGGCTGGAGGCACAGGTGAGACTCAGCCTCTACCTGCTGCTGAGCCAAACTGGAGAAGTGGATGCTCTTCAGTGCAGAGACTGTGGGTCTGGGAAAATGTCCCCCTTAAGCTTTTCTGGGACACTGAGGGGCAAAAAGAAAACATTAAAGCCAAGATACAGGATTTCTAAGTAAAGGGGCTTTAAGCAGGAGCTTTGCCAAGGATCCTTATTCTCCTACCCTATTTCAGATGAGCTGTTGTCCCTGGGAAGAGGACATGAGCCTCTCTCCAGAACTTGAGAGCATGGTCATCCTCTGTCAATCTCACCTACTTCCTCGGAGAAGAAATCTTCACAGTGACGGTTAGGTGGTGGTGTTGGTAATGGGTTCCTTATATGTGAAGAGGGAATTTCCTATAATCTAAGTCCAAAGGGTAAACGATATCCAAAGATCTGAGCAGGATGTCACACAACTGGCAAAGGCTAAAGGGGCCAGGAGGTGCTAGAAAAAAGGCTTCTCCAACGCGGAGGAAGAGACCACCTTCTATGTGGCTATAATTTGCAGGGTGAGGAAGGAGGTGATGCAAGAGAGGAAGCAATGTCCATTAAGAAGCAGGAATGAATGTGCATACAATGCTTTCTGGAGTGGGAATTAGGTTTGTCGGTACTGAATGCAGAACATAAGAGAAGCTGTAACATCGAAACCAGCAGTTTTGGCCAAGATGGAGGAAAAGGGATCAGATTTACCCTCCTAACTAAACAACCAAAAATTAAAACAAAAACAAAAAGACAACAAACTAACAAAAGAAAATAAGCGAAATGAAATGAAGAGAGAGAAACAACCCTGACAATAGTTAAAACACTTAAGACACTGGACACTGCAATGAAAAACTGTGATCCCTGAGAGATGGGAAACTAACAAGGCGATCCCTATGACTGCCCCAGCTTATATCCTTGGGAGTTTCCAGGGAGAAGAAAGTGGGACGGAGCTCAAGTCCACAGGACAAGTACCAGGGAGGAGAGAGCTGTAGAGGAAGACCCCCAGAGGTATACAGAGGGTCCCCCTTGGGTATTCGGTATAGTAAGTACTAATCAATGCATGTGTTTGAGGAAGCTTCTCAAGGCCTGGAAGAGCATCCAAAGGTTTAGAAGAAACAGTGCTCAGAGCTTACACAGGGCTGGGATCAGTGTCTGTTCCCATCAGCCAGACTGAAGAAAGTAATGGTTCATGAGGCACTGGGTAGGAAACCCAGGAAGATATTGCCTCATCAGTGAGGAATAATCAGCCCCAAACTGAGCACTGCTCGGGAGCCCCCTAACAAATCGTAAAAGCAAGACCCCAGGGACTTCCCTGATAGGCCAGTGATTAAGACTCCGTGCTTCCACTGAAGGGGGCATGAGTTTGATCCCTGATGGGGAACTAAGATCCCGCATGCCGCGTGGTGCGGCCAAAAAATGAAGGAAGAAAGGAAGAATTAAAAAAAAAAAAAAAAAAAAAAAAAGCAAGACCCCAAAGGATCAAACTATTTCCAAGTAACTTAAGTGTTTCCCAGTACAAAGCTCAAGAATATTTTTAGGAATAAAAATATGCAGCACCCCAAAACATAAAATTCACAACGTCTAGCATCCAAAGATTACCAAGCATGCAAAGAGGCAGGAAAACACAACCCACAATGCAACTAATCAATCAATTGAAAACAACTCAGAACTGATACAGAGGTTAGAATTAGCAGAGAAGGACAATAAGATTTAAGTCAAACTTCCAGGGATGAAAACTACAATGCCTGAGATGAAAACTACAGTGGGCTTTTAGAACAACTGGATATCCGTAGGCAAAAAGTAAAAACCTGGATCAACTTCACATCATAATCAAATATCAACTAAAAATCAACTCTAAATGAACACTATAAAACTTCTAGATGAAAACATAGGGAAATAATCTTTGTGACTGTGGGTTAGGCAAAGATTTCTTAGATATGAGGTTAAAAAGCACAATCCATAAAGGATAAAATGAACTTCATCAAAAATGAAAACTTCTTCACTTTAAAAAATACTTTTAAGAGAATGAAAAGTCAAGCCACAGACTGGGAGAAAATCTTTATGAAGCATGTATCTCATAAAGGACTTGTTTCCAGAATATATAAAGAGCCCTCAAAACTCAACAAGAAAACAACTTAATTAAAAAAGGGCAAAAGATTTGAATAGATTTCACTGAAAAAGATAAAGAAATGGCAAGTAAGCACATGAAGATGTTCAACCTTATCATCATTACAAAAACGCAAGTTAAAACCACTAGGAGGTATGACTACTACCGATTAGAATGAGTACAACTAAGAAGACTCATCATATCATGTATGTACTGGTGAGGATGTGGAGGAACTGGAATTCTCACACATGGCTGGTGGCAACTTAAAACAGAACAACCACTTTGTAAAACAGTTTGGCCATTTAAGTTAAACATACACCTCCCATCTGACCCAGCCATTCTACTCCTGGATATTTAGAGAAATGACACTTATGGCTATACAAAAAGACTTATATACACAAACATTCACAGCAGACTTACCTGTAACAGCCAATAATTGGAACAACCCAAACATCTGCCAGCTGATGAACAGATAACCAAATATATCCATACAACAGAAAATTATTTGGCATTAAAAACGAATGAATTATTGAGTGCAAGAAGCCAGACAAAACAGTACAGACTATATAATTCCACTTATATAAAACTTCAGAAAAATGCAAACTGACCTATGCTGACAGAAAAGCATATCAGGGGTTGTTGGCGATGGGAAGAAGGGGGAGGTTTCAAAGAGGAACAAAGAAACATACCAAAACTTATGAAGCTGTACACGCTAAGTAGCAGCAGTTTACTGCATGTCAATTATGCCTCTGTAAAACTGTTATTTTAAAAAAACAGGGAGAAAGGGAAAAAAGTGAGATTTACTAAAATCCTACATATGTTTACCTCCTACACCCAACCTGGCAGTGGATGGCAGGTGCTTCCTCTGTCTGGGAAGGAGCAGGTAAAGCAGGCAGCAAGTCAAGCCTCAGCAGTTGTTCCCATTTTAACTCTGGACATCTCCGTGCCAGGACCTGGAGCCCTTGAACAGTGAAACCACCTGCCAAGTTAGCACTGTAATTTCCTAGAGAAAGCACGCTCTGCTGAGAGAAGGCAACTGAGGTTACAGTTCAGACGTGACAGCCACTCTTAGCAAAAACCTGGATCACCAGCATGACCTTCTATCTGCAGAACTGACTGATTCCACTTCTGATTCCACACAAATCTATACCTCATGACCCAGAAATTGCCTAGGATAGCCAAGTATTCTGGATTTCAAGAATTCTTGTCTCTCCTGACTGAACGCAGCTCAAGGTCACAGACCGGGACTCAGAGTTCTATGTCCCTGTGGCACTCAGCTCAACCCCTGGCACTCACAACACTGGCACTCATGAGCACTTTTCAATTTGCTTCATTTGCATGATTTTTAAGAACTAGCAGGACAAGCGTGAGGCTTCCATTTCTGGACCTCTTCCCTATATGGTGAGAAGAATCTGAGCGGTAGTCCCAGAATGGCAGTTTGCACTTTTAATTTACTAGTCAGTAAGAAAAATGTGAAAACCTGGGGGGTCTCCAGTTAAATGCACAAGGCCATGAAAGGAGTGAAAGCTATGGCTGCCTGCGGGACTGTTAACGCAGCCTCTGGCCGCAAGGCAGCTGACATCACCTTCGCCTGGGTCTCCTCCCAAACGGTTTTAGCTGTTCTTTGGGGGAAGAACTAGACTCAAATCCCTGGAGAGGGAGCAGGAGGGCTTTAAAAAAACAGAGGGCGTGTGCGCATGAGCGTGGGGAAGTCTCCAGGTCCTCTCCCCCCAGCACTCCTCCCACGGCTTGGCTCTTTCTGCTGCTCATCTGTTAGGGAGGGTTCTTTCTTGCTCCAAGTGAACCAGCAGAGGCAGACTTGGCCAGCAGCTCCTGTGCAAAGGTCCCTCGGACTGTGTCTCTGATGCTCAGCCCATGTCATAGAAGCAGTGGTTAAGACCCAAGGCCAGGGAATTCCCTGCCTGTCCAGTGGTTAGGACTCCAGGCTCTCATTGCTCTCTTATTCATGTCCAATGTTTGCTTATTAATCCTATTTTTTCTGTTTTCCAGAAAACACAGAGGCAGGAGCTGTCAGGTACAATGGTTCAAGGCATGAATCCTGGAGGCTGGCTCCAGATTACTACAGTAAGTCCCTGCTGGTCTCCCTGTTTCTGCCCTTGCTCTCCTACAGTTTAAATTTGACATGGCAGCCAGAGTGACATTCTTTTAAAATACAGGTCAGACCCTATTACCCTTGTGTTCAAAACCCTCCCCTAGTTCATTTCACTCAGAATAGAAGCTGAAGTCCTTATGTCTCTCATTGCCAAGGGCCCAGGTTGGATCCCTGGTCAGGGAACGAATATCCCACATGCTGCGCAGCCAAAAAGTAGAAAAAAATTTAAAAATAAAAAATAAATAATAAAATAAACAAAAAATGTTAAAAAAAAAAAAAAAGACAAGACCCAAGGAGCACCCCTAGCTTATCATTTCACTTACAATCCAACAGAAAAGGAGCCACCTCTAGGGCACCCTGCTTTGTGGAAGGAACAGTCCGCAAACACCCTCTACCGGGTAAAGGAAGATGACTTAAGAAGGCACTGAAGCTATGGCCTCACCACTTGTTGTAGTTAAAGCTCATGACTCACAATGTGGTTTTCAGTAGCTGATGAATTTCTGCAGGTGGTTTTCACAGGCAGCATTCTACAGGGCCCCAAATATGGCAAGTTTTAAAACTAAAAAACAAAAAACCCAAACCTAAACCAAACAATGACAACAACAACAAAACAGAATATCCCAAACCCCAAACTTCCCAAACTATATTAAAATTCTTGCCACTTTACAGTTGGGAGACAGAGAAAGGACTTCTACTTTTAACTCAATACCAGGTAGTTTCTTGAGTACAAAAAAGTGCAATGGTTGAATGGTGGTGGGGGAACCAAACTGAAAATCACCAATTTTTCTGAAGATTTGCCTTTGAAGCTACTTGGAACATCCCCAAATGGATGTACTGACCTAGGCACAGATGGGCACACTGACCTAGGCTGAGCTGCCTCCCTTCCTCCTTACTATATACAGAAGCTCTCTCAACTACCGTTTACTGAGCTGCCTGGCCAGAGACTCTTATAGAAACCACAGCCTGCACAGCCTCGGGCTGTGAAAGCTCCTTCATGCCCCAGTCTCTAGCTCATCCTCACTCCATCTTTCCCATGTGAGTTTTATGCTTTCCAAGGGTCAATCAGCTATGTTTATTCCCAAATCCATTTATGTCAGTTATACTTACTGAAGATAGATAATATAACTAAATAGTGTGTAAATAAATGAAATATGAGTGTGAACAGAAAAAGTACAGTCCTAGCTGATATTTTGGAAATACTCAATAAGGCAATTCACTAAAAAATATTGCTAGTGAATAACTGTGTGTGGATGAGACTAAATGTATGTTCAGAGAAAGAAGTCTTAAAAACCTGGAAAGGTTTGGCACTTAGATGACCTCACAACAGTCCTTGCTCTACTTTAAAGAAGCCAAAATTAGTTTTTGCAAGAACCTTGATAGGAAACTCCACCAGAAGACCCACCCTAAAAGAAAGACACGGCCCTTTAGTAAATGATTTATGTTTGGATTTAAATAAAATGTTTAGAGGAACCAAGTCACTTTTATGATTAAAATATCAACTATCCCCTTGTCCCAATCATGATGGGTGAGATTCTACACAATGAGGCATTAATTCAAAGCTATGTCTTTGTTCCACTTCCAGGCCTCTGCAGTTGAACTCAGGATAGCCTTCCTGAACTGGAATTCTGAGAACCCCATGCACGTGCTATGATCACAAGTCAAATTCCGACCCAAAGAGAGAACCAGCTTCTGCTTCCCCATCACACAAAGTGCAAGAACATTTCTTATCTGTTTTCTGAAAATGCTTCTAACCTTTGGTTAAATTCCTTTAGGTTCTATGACCAAAAGTGTATTTTCAAAGGAGGGCCCATGCACAGAATTGCAGGATGCAAACCAGAATGCAAGCTCTGGTGGGCATGCCTTTCCATTTTCTATTTCATCACAATATAAGAAGACTGCCACATTATGTCTCATACGGGTAGGGAAGAGATGCACAAAAGGAAACACTACTTAACAGTGGCTATCTGGAAATGGTAGAAATATGCATGATCTTGAATTTTTTCTTTTTTCTGTTTTCTAGAAAACACAGAGGCAGGAGCTGTCAGGTACAATGGTTCAAGGCATGAATCCTGGAGGCTGGCTCCAGATTACTACAGTAAGTCCCTGCTGGTCTCCCTGTTTCTGCCCTTGCTCTCCTACAGTTTAAATTTGACATGGCAGCCAGAGTGACATTCTTTTAAAATACAGGTCAGACCCTATTACCCTTGTGTTCAAAACCCTCCCCTAGTTCTTCGTTTCACTCAGAATAGAAGCTGAAGTCCTTAAAATGGCCTACAAGGCCCTGTAGGAGCTGCCACCCCACAGCACCACCTCTCTGACTTCATCTCTGATTCCTCTCACACTTCTCCACTCGAGAACACTGTTTTCTTATGTTCTGTATACACACACCAGGAATACTCCCACCATAGGGCCTCTGAGCTTGCTGTTTCCTCTGCCTAAAATGCTCTTACCCAGTCACACGGATTACTCCCTTACCTCCTTCAGGTCTTTGTTCAAATGTCACCTTCATTGTTCTATCTAAAGTTTCAACCTTCTCCTGTTCCCTCAGCACTACTGGCTAATGTCCAATGTTTGCTTATTAATCCTATTTATCATCTGTCTTTCCCATTACAGTTTAAGATCTATGAAGGCAGGGACTCTGTCTTCTTCACGCCTATATTCCTGGTTCCCAGAACAGTGCCTTGCATATAACAGATGGTCAACAACACTTGTAGAAAAATCAAAGGCACCTTTGCCCCTACCAGGCCTTGCACACACTTGGCAAGCCCCTGAGCCACACACATCCAAGACCATGTCGCACTTCTGGCCCCAAGTGTGGGCTGCTCAAGGCACTTCCCTTATAATGTTAAGCACAAGGGAAGGCACTCCCTACAATGTAGGCACCTCCAGGGCAAGGTTGAGGCTTCCCCCCCTGCCCAGCTCCTAATACATTTGTTGAATGACTGAGGGAAAGGTTTGGTGTGCTGACCTGTGTGTGTGGGTGAGAGAGGAAGGAGTGGTTACAACTGTATCAATCCACAGGGATTGGGCAAAGTCCAAAATGTTGTAAATATTCTCTTTCTTATTCTAACCCAAAGGCAACAGAAGTATGATACCAATCATAACAGGAATGTGGGCTTTCCACACTCCAGCTGGAGTCTAATGCCAGGTCCTAACTGACCACTCAAAATGGTCACTGAGTACCTACTCCACGCCAGGCACCAACGGGGAGAGAACCTGGAGAACACCACTTGTGTGGGTCTGGCCTCCTGCAGCCTGCCGTCTCCTGAGGAAAGGGCAGATATAACTACACACAGCCTGACTGTGGGGAAAGCAAAGGACGGGAGCCTTGCTGGAGACAGAGGCGTGAGTGTGTGTGCATGTGTGAAGACACACATTAGTCAAGGGTCAGGGGAGACCCACTGAGGGGGTGTCACTTAAGCTGCAAGAAGAGCCTGCCACGTGGTGGGAAGTGGGGGCAGTGTGGCTGCACCTAAGCACAGGGGCAGAGACCTTCCTGGGGGGAAAGCTTGGTGTGTTTGGGGAACTGAATGCAGGCCAGGATGGCCTGAGCTCCTGGGAAGGGAAAAGTAAAGGCAATGAGAGCAGAGACAGCAGCATCCAGGAGCTGATTATTCCCCCTTTTCTCTCCCTTTCCTCCTCCTGCTCTTTATACTGCTAGAATTTATCAGGCCAAAGTTAAAGGGGCCTGAGAGAAGAAATGCAAGGACTCAGTTGAGTTCCTCAGTAGGTAAAAAAAAAATAGGAAAAACAGAAATATGAATCAACAAGTACTGCCATGAGCACCAAAGGGAGAACTGGATAATACATGCCTAAGTTATCCAAAACACCCCTGGCCTTTTCCATGGGAAATAGCAGGTGACAGTACTATTTTTAAAGAAAACTCCAAGGCAGACAAATGAGTTTATAGATACAATGAACTCAATCAGTACTTTATAAAAATCAGTTTTTAACCACCAAACATGTTCAAGTTAAAATTTTTATGGTATAAATTATACCCAATAAAGTTGTTAATGAAAAAAAAAAAAAGTCTATGAGACCCACTGAAAGGAACCAGAGCTCTTT